GCATCAGCATCTCCCTGGGACCTCACTAGTGCGCAAGTGCGAGCTCTTCAACATTCTAACAGGCACCATGATAGCCCAAAATCGTGAATCTTCAATGCATATGTAAAGAAATATACGGTAACCCGAATTTACCACACTCGCAAAATCGCACACAGCCAACCATACACCCAGTATGGTATCGCGATTCGCGATTTTGCGCTATCATACTGGGTGTATGGTCGGCTGTGTGCGATTTTGCGAGTGTGGTAAAATCGCATAACAGAAAAATTGCATAACAACCGAGCATACACCCAGCAGCACTGCTGATGCCTGAACGGTATGTGGAATGAAGTGGGCGGGCATCAGGAGGCCACTATGGCACGGGGCAAGCACTATGGGCACTCTATCTGAAGTGTACCTGGCGTATAAGACGACCCCCCACTTGGAGGCATATTTTTCAGGGCCAAAAAATCGTCTTATACGCCGGCAAATACGGTATTTGGTAAGATTTGAGCAGTGGATAAAGGCTTTGCCACATTCTGTGTTCCTAAGGCTTCTCTCTAGTTGAGTCCTCTAATGCTATAAATGTTTAAATATGATGTGAAGGCATTTTGACATCTGCACATTTACAAGGGTTTCTGTCCTGAGTGATTTCTCTGATGTTTGCAAAAGGCTGAATACCAGCTAAAGACTTTGCCACATTCTGTACATTTATAGGGTTTCTCTCCAGAATGGATATTCTGATGTTGAGTAAGATGTGAGCCCCGGGTAAAGGCTTTGCCACATTCTTCACATTTATATGGCTTGTCTCCAGAATGAATTTTCTGATGTTTAGCAAGTTTTGAGCCCTGGTTAAAGGCTTTGCCACATTCTCTACATGTATAAGGCTTCTTTCCAGAATGAATTTTCTTATGTTGAGTAAGATTTGACCTCCGGATAAAGGTTTTACCACATTCTCTACATTTATAAGGCTTCTCTCCAGTATGGATTCTCTGATGATCGGTAAGGTTTGAACAGTGGCTAAAAGCTTTGCCACACTCAGTACATTTATAAGGCTTCTCTTCAGAATGAATCATCTCATGTCGGAATACTTTTATGTTCAGTAAGATTTGATGATTGGTTGGAAGACTTGGCACATTCACTGAAACTTTCCGTCTTCTCTACAGTATGAATAAAAATATTTGAGTTTTTTTCAAAGACTTTAGGCAATTTATACTTGTTCTGTGGAAGCTGAGCTCTTTGATGGTTAATAGAATTTGACCCTTGGTTAAAGTTTTTCTGAGATTCATTGCATTGGTGACTTCTCTCTTCATTATATGTACTCTGATAATAATTTAAGAGAGAAAAACTTTTAGTGAGGACTCTAATATCATTACACATTTAAAATTGTTCTCAATTACCTATTTTAACACCATGATGGTTGTATATATATATCCTCCCACATTTATGAAAATTATAAACTCTGGAAAAAGAACTATTTTCCCATGAAACAATAATACAAAATTGGTTAAGGGATTTACAAATTCATTTATACCTTGTACCTTCATTTTTTTTTAAATTTCGTTTTATTGCTTAAAATATTACAAAGAGTAGTATATATATCTTCTTTTTCCCCTACTTGACATTCCCCCAGCCACCCCTACCCCCCAGTTTCTTATGTCCATTGGTTAGGCTTATATGCATGCACACAAGTCCTTTGGTTGATCTCTTTGTACCTTCATTTTTAAAATATCTCACTTGTAGAAATATTTGACTGTTTAATCAAATGCTACATTAAATCATTCAAAAATTATTTGCACAATGGACTAGGTGACTTTTCTAATATTAGAAATTTTACTTCAGAGAATATATATTCATTTATTTATTTTAATTTTCACATGAGGACATGTTTATTAATTTTTAGAGACAGAAAAGGGGGAACGGGGAGTGATAAAAAAAATTGATGAGAGGGAAAGATCGATCAATTGCCTCCTGCCTACACCCAGACCAGAGATTGAACCCTAAATCTACATGTGTCTCAACAAGCATTGAACCCACAACATTTCAGGGTGCCACTTCAACCAACTGAGTCACAGCAGCCAGAGCAGAGAATATATACTTTTAAATTTTTTTTATTTTTTTTGTTCAGAAACACATTGTTCTGCCAATGAACTATTGTCAAGTAGAGGGTAACTGTCCCACTTTGGGGCAAGATCATGACTGACAAGATTTTTTCTCTTCATATTCCCCTGCACATTACAAAATTTTCATTCAGTGTAAATTCTCAATGCCATATCTGCTATATCTTACCTGTAACATTTTCTGGAATGACACTTCTACACCTGACTTTGGCAAGAAACCTTGGGTAACTTGAGAAGGTATAGCTGAAATATAACAAATTAATTATAAAACACACGCAGGTAAATATTCTTTAAATTTTAATGTACAGAATTAATACCTGTAAGAAGACTTCAGTGAGATAGAAGAACAGGAAGCACAAAAACTTTCTTCCTCCATGGAGATGCTAACTTACCAACAATTACTGATCCAATTACCTTCTAAAGTACTTCAGAAGCCAGTTCAAAGACCACAATACCCACCAGAAAGCACAAAATAAAAAAGTCATATCAAAGACGGAAACAAATTATGTACATTTGCCCAAAATACCTGCTCACTCTTTCTGACACAGGAATGGTAAAATATCATGGGCTCTAAACAAAAGCAAAATATGTTTTAAACTGGAAAGTTACACAGAACTCACACACGCAGGCTTCTGGTCAAGATGGAGGTGTAGGTAACAGTGGCACTGGCAACCTCCCACAACCACATAAAAATACAACTGAACTACAGGAAAACCATTTTTCACAACTGACTGAAACCTAACTGAATGAAGCTGTAAAACGAAGGACATAAAGAAGGCTTATCCAGATTGGTAGGAGGTGCAATGTCACAGAACGGACTGGGCCCACATGGTGGATAAAAATCACCAGTGGCATACCGGCTTCACAGGTCGCATCTGAGGAGTAAAGGGTCACAGCCCACAGAAGGCCCTCCAGCCCCGGGTTCCAATCCAAGAAGAGATGTTCCCATTACTCTGGCTGTAAAAACTAGCCAGGATTGTGGCTGAGTGAGACGGAGAGCTGATGGAATCCTAGGCAATTCCTCTTAAAGGGCTCACGCTCTGACCTATTCAGATTCATGCCTTGTGAGCTCCAGTGCTGTGGCAGCAGCTCGAATGGCACCAGGGTTGGACCTGAAGGATGAGAGCTGTAGAAGGAGCTTTCTCCCAGGCATAAGTCTTGGTAGAAGCCATTGTT